CTTTATTTAATACAACTCATGATTTTGCCTTTGTTATTAAGATGCATTAATTTTATTTATGACATGTGATTTTTCAATATCTAAATGTATGAAGTGACTTGTTTTAAAGGAATAAATGAAGTGAAAACATTGTTGTGTGAGCATATTTTGGGGTCAGGGCAAAGAGCCAGTGAAGAATACTACACTCAAGTTACATATTACCAACCCAGACCACAGCTTGGATTTGTGTACCTGATTCCCACACCCTTTGAGTAGTTAAGTGTTTCTCTTTTCTGATGCCAAAAGTCATTCAAAATTTCTCTACACTGACTAAATTTCTTTCTAAATCCCCTGAAGTTTAAATTCAGTAACCTTTGCTAGTGGATTGTTTAAATGGAAAGGTCAAGTGTACCTGTTTTTACTAGAATAGGATCTGGATAGACTTACATCTGTTTGAAAATGGTAGCTTCTCTATAATTTTTAAGTGTCAGCAGTTAAACACTAGAAACCCTGGGGTCGTTAAGGTTGGCCAGAGCTTGGGTTTTCTAACTTGACCTATGTCTACAAATACAACCCACAAGATACTGACAAGAATAGAAAGAAATGGGTGCTTTAATATTTTTTAAAAACTCAAATACTGTGATGTCTCCTGCATTATGGGAATGATACTAGAAGTCAGTTGGTCTCTTACTATCTTGAAAAGTATTTTAATACCAGCTATAAAATAATTACAAAAGAACCTCTTCCTCCTTTCAAATGGTATTATGATATTACACACACACACACACACACACACACAAAAAAAATCAGTTTTTTTTTCCCCTCTTATCCTGTTAAAGTTTGGAAAGGTGAGTTTTAGATATGGTAGAAGCTGCAAAGCAGGACATCCATTTGTGACAGATGCACTTTTTGAATTGATAAAGATCTTATATCTCCAAACCTGAAATAAGGCAATCAAGAAACAGAAGGTCCACAAATACACTTTGTTTTGAAGTTTTGTTCTGATCCGAATGTCTTTTGTCTCTCTTGCAATGGCACCAAGTACCAGCCTAGATTGAGTAACTAAATGTGACAATAACTATAAATTGGATGCGTTGCTGCTCACTTCAGGTTAATAGCATACTGGGGTTTTAACCTACACTGGGTATAGCCCTTGTTCTCTTGTTCTGTTCAGCTGTCACAAGTACCACTCAGCCTGTCAGCATGTCAGCTACTCAGTCTGGAATAGACATCTCCGGAAGAAACATGGTCCCAAGTGTCAGGCACAACACACCATACCTACCCTTTCCCTGTTCCAGGCCTGGTAATTTACCAAATTCTTTATTACCTTTTTGGTTCTTCATTACTGCAGCAGGAGGCTCATTTGAGTTACTTGGCTCAACATTTCTAGAAGTGAATGCCTGGAAGATTACCTTTCTTATGATTATCAACACCACTGCCTTGAAACTTAAGCGGAGGATGGGTTATAACTTGAAAATGGTAGGTGGAGGAAGAGGAGAAAAGAGTAGAATTTGTCAGTTTGGGATGTAGAGTGTTCCAGAAAGAAAAGTCCTTAGCAAGTAACATGAACATACCTATCACAATTCTCATTCATCCTTGTGGATATTGTATTGAAATATCTACCCAAATTGTAGGCAAAATTTCACAGATACTAGAATTCCACACTTTTTTTTTTTTTTTTTTTTTTTTTTTTGGTTTTTCGAGACAGGGTTTCTCTGTAGTTTTGGTACCAGTGCTGGATCTCGATCTGTAGACCAGGCTGGCCTCAAACTCACGGAGATCCACCTGGCTCTGCCTCCCAAGTGCTGGGATTGATGGCGTGTGCCACCACCACCCAGCAGAATTCCACACTTTTATGAATGAAACTGCTTCCTACTGGGGCTAGGAAATCAATGCTCCCTATAGTCTTTATTGAATTACTTTTTCCACAGCATGACTATTACAGGAGAAACCAATCAGATTCTTTTTTGTTTTTTTTTTTGTTGTTGTTGTTTTTTCGGGACAGGGTTTCTCCGTGTAGCTTTGATGCTTTTGCTGGAACTCACTTTGTAGCCCAAGCTGGCCTCGAACTCAGAAATCCGCCTACCTCTGCCTCCCGAGTGCTGGGATTAAAGGCGTGCGCCACCACTGCCCAGCCCAATCCAATTCTTAAACCTTCAGAATATGGGACAGACTGAATTATGACCTTTTGCAAAAGTGCCCTCCCTCTAGGTTCATTTAATATCAAAACATCCGGTTTGTGGTTTTGTTTGGGGTGGCTTTGTTTTGTCTTCCTTAAAGAGTCTCACTGTGTAATCTAGGTGGGCTCCAGCTTGAGAACCTCGTTGAGTTTGTCCTCATTTCCTAAGTGCAAAGATTATAGGCATGTACTATCGTGCCTGCCTCCGGTTTTGACTTTCTTACTCTTAAAATGAAAACTGAGAAAATGATTTTTGTCTAAGAGAAGCTAAGTTATTTCAAGTAAGCTGCTAAATCCTTCCTAAATTCTACTTCTTGGGCGTGGAGTCACATATCTCAGGATTACAAAAAAATGGAGATGCATTGAGTGAGCATTCTTGAATGGTACAGTTGTGTCAAACTGCCCTGGTTGCTAGATGCACTGGAAGGAAAAATAAAGACAGTGCTGTAAAGGAACTAGAATGTAGGTTCCATGAAGAAAATAATGGGGTGGGAACAGCAAATTAAAATTGGTGAGTCTGCGAGAGCCTTTTAGAAAACATGGTATTAGGGATGAAAGCTAAACTAGACGTCGTAATTAGTCCTTTAAAGAGTAGGAAGAGCATCCGAACTAGGAAGTGGCAGCATCTGTGAACTCTGTACTGTGAGGGAGATGGAAGTATTTCCCTGTCTGGTCACAGTACAAATGAGGGAAGAGGAAAATAGATGCTTTTAGAAGTGGGCAAAGACCTAGATTTGTGCTGGCTTTGGCTATCTTAAGCCCTTATTCCGTGTGTGTGTGTGTGTGTGTGTGTGTGTGTGTGTGTGTGTGAAGGAAATAGACATTGACCTTGTTTGTTGTAGAGTGGCTGAAAGGACATAAAAACATTCCAGTGAATCATCAGATCTTTGTCTCAAACGAATTTTATTAGCTCTTAACTGGGAAGTCCAAGAACTTTTGACATGACTAGAAACAGCTTCAAATAAAGTCTTTGACTCTTACAAACATATCATCATCGTTGTGGAACTTTTTAAATACTAGAAAGAGAGAAGGGCCTAACATTTAGAATCAAATATGTTGGAGGCTCTTCGACAGCAATACTGGAAGCCAACAGAAGGTAACTTAAAACTGTGTGAGCAGCCACTCAAGTACAGAGATAACAATAAAGTTCTTTTCAGGCATACCAGAGTTTAAGCATTTATCCTTTGGAAATTAATAAAACCTGCTGTGCCAAGAGAAGAGCGCTAACACAAAAAAGAAGGTCTACACTCCAAATAACTCAACAGAAAATGGATTTCTCCCAGTTATTTGATGAAGATAACAAAATGACAGCCATTGACCAGCTTACAGAACGCTCTTCCCCAAACTGATGCAGGTCTGGAGTCTGAAGCAAATTTTTCTTCAGGATGAAATTAATAGAAAACAATGTATATGTGAGTGTACTGAGAGGAAATTACATAGTGGATCTGGGTGAAGGGTCCAGAGATACATAGAAAAGTGAGTATGTTGTATCTAATAGCTCAGCTGCCAACAGTTGTGTGATAATAGGAAACTGAGTGAGTGTGTGTGTGTGTGTGTGTGTGTGTGTGTGTGTGTGCGTGTGTGTGTGTGTGAGAGAGAGAGAGAGAGAGAGAGAGAGAGAGAGAGAGAGAGAGAGAGAGAGAGAAGAATATAAAGGTGAGAATGTGGGCATAGATGTGATAGGAACGAACAGATTTCCTCAGCAGGTGGGCTAGAGAATCCTCCGAAAAGAAATAGGGAAGAACCTACTCCTGGACACTACTTAGCAATTAAGTAGTGTCAGAAACTAAAGTCTACTTTAGTATATGGCTTAGTTTCCATCCATATTAGGCTTAGTAAGACTCATCCTTTGATGAGAGCTTGGCGGCTTATTAGCTGTGGCCTATTCTAGAATTTATAGCCAAGTTATACTCTTGAACCCATTCCTAGTCTTTCCTTATTTAGGATCAGCTCTGCATTCCGCAGCCTCTACTTAACTGTAAACGTTTCCTTTCTGCCAGTATCTCAGAGGTCACACTTAGAGCCCCAGCACATATCACCACGAAGGGATGGGGCACCAGGTGTTTCCTGAGAGTAAAGCAACAATCTTCCTTCAAGAGAAAGGAAGGAGGACACTGACCAGTAGAGTGTGCATGAGTAGGAAGAGTTTGGATGGAGGCCCACAGCTGGTCTGCAGTCTGACTTTGTAAGGAACCCCAAGGAGCCAGTGTTATTTGTTTTGACTTCAAGTGAGTGTGGATGTGTGTGCACACACCTGCCCATACTTGGGTCACCTAAGTGACTGCCTCTCACTGAGTCAGGCTGACTGAGGAGGGAATGATAAAGCGGACTTTAACTTAAAGGAGGTCACTGTACTACAGCAGGGACAAGGACTATGGCGATCGAGTCCTGGAAGCCGATCTGTAATTGGGTGTCAGAATCAGATCATCAAACAAGAATTCATTTCCAACTCTCAGCAATATCTCTCCAGACACAAATGACGTACATCGACCATCAAGCTTGATTTCAGGTAGTTCTGACTTGGGGGTCTTCCCTTGTCTGTAGTCCAGGCCACCTTCTTAGTTCACTTAGAACCTTGGAGGTTCATATGTTTCCAAACAAAAAGTAAAGCAAAGCAAAACCATGCTCAATTCCAGAGAAAATAATTAAGGCAATGGAGAGCAAGAAAGACCAGAGTTAGGATAGTAGTTTATTTCAACCAGGACATATGTATGCTTTGAGGAATGGGGAGAGGAGCTGAGGCTTATATGTAATGTTTTATAACTGAGTAGTAGACAGCAGGGTGCTGTGCTCAGGTACCTGAAATATTTCCCAAGATGAGTGTCTAGGGTGAAAGAGAAAATAAAAGGATTATTTTATTTAAAAGTCACCTGGGAAAAGATAGGGAACTCTCCCAATTATTCTAATTTTATTATAAGTTGAAAAATTGCCTGTTTGCAGTCTTTTTGGAGATTGAATTTTTGCTTGTATTTTAAGCAAATGTGTAAATCCCTCATCTATATAAACCTGGATCAAATCCAGCAAGCGACTCCAGCCGTGGGTGGAGCTCCAGTTGCAATGCATTGATGTGGAGATCCCTTCCTGTTTTCTCAGTATCATGACATCACATATGTTTGATGATGTGTTAGAAACAGAGGTCAGAGCCCTGAAGATCTTAGTCATCTGTGACCCATATGATGCTGACAGGGTACTGGGTTGTCCCAAGCTTTCTCAGAGTTCCTTCCACATTATTTCTCATCTTGGCCCCGGGATAATTTAGTTATTTCCCTCCCACCTATGACCACAGGGAAAAGATGGAAACCATGTGTCATCCTAGAAAACATATGAACATCTATCTGCAAGTCAGAAATGAAATAGAGAATGACACAAATTGTTAGAATTAAGGATGCAAGTTATGTTTGCACTTAATGCTTCCCACTGGGGATTTTTTTTCCAAAATATAGGCAGACTGGGATCATACTGGTGCCTGTCAACTGTGATGGTTGATATTGTCAGTTTGACTGTACAGGAAATAAATGGTGAGGTCCCTCTTCAATACGAGCTGAATTCAGAGCTCTGTGGTCACAAATGAGCACAAAGCACTAGGCCCTCTCTCCCCTAGCTGCCTGCTGGTGCCTACTTGTCTAGGAACTCTGAGAGCTGGAAGGTGACAGCTATGTGACCATAGCTGAGTCCACCAACAGAAACTAAGGCATTCTCAAGCCCCAAGATATTCATTTGATAAGGCTTTGGTTTATCTCAAACCAATAGAACAGGGAATTTGGGAGGAGTCCAAGCTGGAAGAGAATAAAGATGGTAACTCTGGGTACCAGCACATAGGAAAAAGCCAGAATTACACAAAAGCAGGGACTTTACACACCACTGTTCCCTGCCAAAATGCCATGGCAACTGTTCTTTCTGTCGCTACACTAGTATATTAAAAACTGTTTCATTTCACTAGTGTCTTGAAATTGTTTTTGCAGAGTGAGGGTCTTGCTTCTTGAACCAGGATCTAAACTCATGTAGGAAACATGCCTCTGTGCATACCTGTGAGATTTTATCTAGATTAGGTTAATTGAGTTGGGAACACACACACACCCAACCCCCATCCCCACCTCTCCACCCTCCCCATACTAAATGCTGGCAGGACAGTTCCAATGACTGGGGTCCTGGAGGACTGAATAAAAAGGAGGAAGTAAGTTGACCACTTGTGATTTCTGCTTCCTGACTGGACAAGTCGTCTAACCTCCCTATGAAGTGTGGATAGTAACAATGCTTTTAAGTTGAAGCAAAAATTAAATAAGACATGAAAATGTTTAACATAATACCCAACACACAGCAAGTGCTTAAATTGAGCAATCCTTGCATGATTGATTCTGAGTTTCCTTTTTGCCCTTTTACTGCCAGCAAGTGAAATACCTTTAAAGTGGATAGTTCTTAGGGATAAGCTACCTTCAGGGAACTAAGGCCACTTCTGGACAGAAGTCCCGCCTGGCATGAGCAGCCTCTACCTGGAGGAAGATTGCTTCCTGAAAGCAAGAGATTCCTCCCATACACACCAAACATCTCCCCACAAGAGAAGTACTTGCTAGACTGGTGGGGAGCTGACTTTGCATGTACAATATGTCCATTGCCACCTTCTCTAAGCAACCAAAAGGGGCCAGAGACCCAAATGACAGAGTTCAAGTTCTCTCCTTTCTGGCGGTTGGTTCTAGCATTTGTTGTTGTTGTTGTTGTTGTTGTTGTTGTTGTTGTTGTTTAAATCCGGAAAAGGACTTCCTAGAGGAGGGAGAGAAGTTGGTTCTATTTCCCCAGAAGGAAAAAGGTCAGGACTGCCCGTCAGCAAGACCCGGGAAATGGGTGACTCAGCTCCATCCCTAACCTGGAGATCCCTGAGCCTCCTCTGGACAGGAAACTGTCCCTGGCTGAGCAGTTAGTTAGAAAAGTCGGTTACAAAACTAGACACCAGTCTACAGAGCGAGATCCAGGACAGGCACCAAAACTACAAGGAGAAACCCTGTCTCGAAAAAAAACAAAAGAAAAAAAGAAAACAAAACTAGCCATCAGAATGGTAGCCTGGAGAATACTTCCAGCTTCCAGTGGAGGAAGGCTGATCTAAACAGGAAACCCGGTTCTCAGCAGGCCCATAGAAATGCACAGTGGCCAGCCGGACGGTTGTGTTCCTTTCAAGAAGGAAAATCAAGCACCACTGGCCTACTTCCACCCCGCCAAACTCCTTTCTCTCTCCATTCTCAGCTCAAACCAGCGCTTGCCTTCTACTACTTCTACCCCCCCCCCTTTTTTTTTTTAAAGCTCTCTATTGGCTCTAAGCCAAAAAGAAGGCGGGGGCGGGAGGTGATTGGCTAAGGCAGAGAAGCACCACCCACTCATTCCCCTCCGGAGTCCTCCCTGACTGAACAGCTGGAATGAGGAGTAGGGAGAGAAGCTAGGATTGGCCGAAAGTCAGCAGCAGGGTGTGTCCAGGCAGCACAGATGAAGCATTTACCTGTCTAGGTAAGTCAGGGGGAGGTCAAAAGAAGAAAACTGTAGGAGACGCGGCAGACAGGCAAGCCGGCTCCATCTCTGCCCTTTGGAATAGAAGGGTATTCCTTCCTTCTCCTCAGACCCCAGCCCAGAGAAGGTGAGTCAATCACTGACCAATTCTTGCTTATTCTGCAGCAAAGGAAGGGATCTTAAGGGGAGGCTACAGGGCTGTGCTGGGGAGTGCTGCAAGAGTGTCCCTTTACATCCAACCTGGGGTTTTCATCTCTTGCTCAAGTCTCTCAGGCAGCCTAAGATTAAGCCAGATGAGGTTTTTCTCCCCCCAGAGTTGAAATATTTTTCATGAAGGACTGGAGAACATCTCTTCCATTTACTTATTTAAGTTACATAAGAATATTGTACAAACAGAAACCAGAGCCAGGCATGCTGGTACGCACCTATAATCATAGTACTCAGAAGGCTGAGACTGGAGGATGGAAAGTATGAAATCAGGCTACTGGGCTATACAGCAAGTTCCAGGCCAGTCTGTCATACCTGGCAAGACCTGTCTCAAAGGAAAAAAAAATTTTTTTGTTTAGAATTTAGAAATTTTTATCTCTGAACAACTAAGATCAAGTAATGATTTTGACTTCAAAATTTTTTTTTGGAGCTGTGGATCGAACCCAGGGCTAGGCAAGTGCTCTACCACTGAGCTAAACTCCCAACCCCCAAGTAATGATTTTGAAAGTGAGTAATTGGAGCAGAGGGGGTCAAAATGGTGAGGAGGGTCATGTAGGTGAGCCAGGTACCTCAGTTTTCCATTTCATTTTGAAAGGAAGCTCTCCCATGACTCAATGTCTATCTTTATTTAACTAAAGGGTGCAGTGTGTGTGTGTATTGGGAGATAATGGTGCACTCTGTGCAGATATGTAAAGCCTAGAGTGAGCTGGATTGTTTGCTTTGGGAATGGAGGTTTGGAAACGTTGAGAAAACTCCAACTCAGGCTAGCATTTCATCTTTGGAAAACCCACAGGTAAGCTAGCTCAGATTCAGTTCACGTAGGGTCTCCTCTCTGACTTTACCTGTTAATAGCTATAGAGCCTGGAAAACAGAAAGTTACCTGGCCATGCTGGGCCTCACCCACATTTTATTTCATTGCGGCATACCAAGCCTAACCAGATTGCCAAGTGGGGCTCAGGCCGAGGTGATGCCGCAAAGTCCTTAGAGAGGAGAACCAGACCGGGTGGAGGTTTTTCTTTGCACTTCTTCAAGTGTCCCAGCTGACAAAATAGTGAAGCCACTGTACCTGCCTAAGGAAGCAGCATATGGAAATCCAGTCGGAAGAGTGCATAAACTATCATCATCATGGGGGGTGTGTGTGTGACATGCAGCTGCTAACTTGACCTTCTGCAGAGAAAAGGGGGCGTGAAAAGACATCAGCACATAGCCCTAGGGCAGTGGTTCTCAACCTCCCTAACGCCCTGATCCTTTAATACAGTTCCTCATGTTATGGTGACCCCAAACATAAAATTTTTTTCATTGCTACTTCATAACTGTAATTCTGCTACTGTTATAAGTGTCATGTAAATATTTTTTGGAGACAGAGGTTTGCCAAAGGGCTCACAACACATAGGTTGAAGACCATTGCCCTGGATGAATATATTGAGTTTCTGGTCGTGAATGCTGGAGCTTTAAATGTTATCTTCCTCTACCCCATAGAGTCAGCCTGCTTCACTCACTGAAGGCTATCATAGGCGGCAAACATCAACAGTAAGGTCACAGGGGTCACCTGCAACGTCTAACAAGGCTCTTCTGTGCAGATGTATTTCTACCAAGCCCCTCCCACAAAGCACTGGTCCGAGAGACCAGTACGGATGGTATAAATTGCAGTCTTTCTGGAGCTACCGTTCTGTTTTCCGGGTATTCTCCAGCCAAGGCGCATGCTGAGTCAACTGAAAGAGAGCCCCTAGCCTAAGAGCAGCATTCCTCTGTGACTCTGGGCTGAGTTCTTAGGAGATAGGAGGGTGTGCTCACGGGAGAGGATGTTGAGGAGGCCTGGATCTATTCAGAAGGTCTGATTCAGATAGCCTAGAATGGTGCTCAAGCCCTCTCCACACCCACTGCTTTGGATGCCAGGGCTCTGTATGCCTTTTATTTACTCTCTTGCAAGGCTTGGCTAGTTTTAGAGAAGTAGTTAATATTTAATGTGCCTTTGGATAGGAGGCCCTGACTATAGGCTGTGCACATTTCTTAGCTTGTTCCCTTTACCCGTAAGTCTCCAAAAGAGGCCAAGGGTGAAAAGATACCAAACTTTCACCTTGAGTGCTTTGCTTGTTTCTCGGGTTTCTTATCAGGCAGAAATGCCGAGAGTTTCGATTGCTGCCCTGATACAGCCCACAAGTTTCAAGGTTATACATTTGGTAGAAGGAAAGAGCACGTGTAGGTTAGGCCGGGCCGGGGATGGAGAGAGGTGGGAGAAGAAGAGGTGTTTTCGGCTCAGATGGTCTGGGTCAGAGAACTGGGTGTGGAGATAGGGGTCCAGCAACTGATCGCTCGCTCGTCCTGAGATTATGTGGCACCGACAGCATCGCCTGCTGTTTTTTTACTTGTGTCTGTTGTCAGGATAACCAACTGACCTAGAAATGCAAAGCTGAACCAGATAATGCACAGGATTTAAGGTACGACGTAGAAGAGAAGGGGACCTTTGGACTTTTGGTAGCAGAGTGGCCAATGACCCTTGAGTGTGCTGACATCTAGTCAGTCTTGAGATGTCTTCTGTAGGGTGAGGCATTCCTACTTCACTTAGGAATTTGGGAAGACCCCCAGTTTTCTCAGCTGTGAAAGGAAGAAAATGCTACCAGACTCTCCTGAAGATCCTATTGGCATGTCTGAGAGCGCTTTGTAGCAGCAGCATGCAGATGGTGTGAAGCAGAGCTGTGCCCACTATACCTCCTCAGCTGCTTCTGGTGTAGAAATGAGAGTGCAGTGGGCTTCCCAGGCAGGAACCAGAAGCCAGCGACCCACAGGACAGCCTGAAGCACACACGGAGGAACAAAAGTAGCAATTTTCTCTGAAAGTAAGAGGCACCACCACACCCATTTGGAGAAAATATCCCATTCATTGTAATGAGTCACCTTAAAGATTTATTACTCGTTAAACATGGAAAATTGGAGCCAAAAATAGCCCCTTGAATCCACACTGACCCCTTGAAAATAATGGTTTTTGTCTTATACAGTGCCTATTGGGTGCTCACAAATGATAATCTAAACAAACATTCTCCAAATTCTTCTGAGTCACTTACTCTAGGGGAAATAAAATATTATGGAAAAGCTTACAGTGGTGTGTTCAAGCCAAGAAGAAGCCTCCATCCAAGTAGTTCACCCAATAGGCTTATTCAGACAGCATTGTTTTTTAAATTAAGTTAGCTCTTCGACAGTTCCAGACATGTATAGAATTTATTCCGGTTGCTCTCTCCCACGGCCTTCCTTACTTTCCTCCTACCCCGTCACCCTCTCCTCTTCCCTACCTGTCCCTTTCCCGCTCTCCCAGATTCATGACTTGGGACTCTGTTGTGTGGCCCATTTAGTTTATTCAGGGCCATCTTTGTGACCAATGGTGGGATCACCAAGGGGTACACTGAATTCATGCTCCCTTTTTCCCTGAATCTATCCCTAGGAAACAGCTCAGCAGTGAGGGATAGGGCCCTGAGTCTCTCCTCCATCCTTGCTTGGCTGTTGGTGGGCCCATTCTTGTGCAAACCCAGTGCAGTCTTCAGAAGTTGTTGAGAGGTCATGGTTACGTGGATATGCCATGCCTAGATGGTGACATTTCACACACACACACACACACACACACACACACACACACACACACACACGCACCCCTACCGCATTTCTGGCTCACTCAGTCTTTCTACCCACTCTTCCACAATATTCCCTGAGCCTCGGTGGGGCAGTATGAATGTCTTGTTTAGGACTGAACACCCCTGTTGCCTACACTCAGCACTGTGTGCAGACATGTTTCTGCAGACAGCAGTTCTGAGTGGCCTTGTGGAATGTTAGGAATAGTGATTGTCTGAACCTGGACAATCACTAAGGAAACACATAGCTAAGATTACTAAAGTTAGTCTACAAGAGGTCTTGAGCTTCTGTCTCTTTGGGTTTGGGATGTTGAGGAACTGACCTCATGGAGAAATCCTAGAGCTACCCCACACAGTATTGATTAGCATAGGGCTTCTTTGTTGTCCCTTCCCTTCTGGGCTGTTCCTCATTTCCTGAGAGGCTCTGAACCCTATATGACTCAGGACCTTCTCTCTCCCGAGCATCCTGCTCATCCTTCCATGCCCTATTTACGGGTCTCTCCTAAGCAGGGGAGGAGCCTTGTGAGGCCTTGCCTTACCCTTGCCAGTGTGACCAGGTTGGAAGACTGATTCACCTCACTGAGCCCAAAGCTCACACTGGCACTGGCACAACTATGGGCAGAGAAATGTGTATACTGGCATCTAAGCCCCAAGTCCCCAGATCTCAAATAAAGCATACTGTCTCAGGACAATTTACCTTCTATTGGGAGAGTAGCAGAAATGATTAAAATACAGTATAGTGTTACAAGCAAAATATAGATTTGAATCATATAAAATTTATTGTAATTCTAGCTCGCCCCTAACTTTCTTTTGTTCATAATTCTTTAAAATTTTCATTTTCCATAAGAAGAGTCGCTCGTGACCTGCCCTTCTCTGGCAGACTGTTTCCCACAAACAGATGTGAACAATCCTTGGGAAGCCCAGTAGCAGAGATGAGGTGGTTCATTGCTTTGGTTTGGTTTTTGCTATTACTATTGCCACAATGAACTTGAACTATTTCTCCCCATAGAAGCTGGGGTCGAGAGGAGCTCCGCTGGACATTTTTCTTGTTCATTTGACGTAGTCTAGGGAACTTCACTGCGAATGCGTAAATGGCAGAATACAAGTGTCGTGTGGGGAAAGTGGGACCGCTCTCAACCACTGCAGGTGCCATGAGCCCAGGGCAGAAAGATAACTTCAGCCCACTTGGTGCCAGTGTCATGTGTATGATATTATTAACAGTGATTGCAGCTGACATTATTGGGCATAAACTGTACTACATAGGCTGTTCCATTTTTCCTATTCTCATAATAACTCTGAGAAGTACATTATTAAGGGCCCTGTTCCTTCTCTCAAGCCTGTAATTCCCCATTTAGACAGAACCCTTCTCTCCAAAACTCTTGTTCCCTGTGCTTGGATTTAATCTGGTCTGAGATGACTCTTGTCTGATTCTTATAGGAATAATAGTAGTTATCCTTTTAATTTACTTGCTGATTATCTGCTACCAACAGAGCTGTGTGTGCTAACTGGCCTCTCCTTTAATCCTTACACTAATCATATTTAACAAGTAATTTGCCTAAAATCAACTAACTAAGTGGTTCAACTAGGATTTGAACCCAGAACCCAAGCCCTCAACCTTGTAATTTGTATTGGGTTGCATAATGAAATTACAAGTTAAACTCCTTGCTCCATAGAGGGAAAAAAAATTAGCTAAGAGGAAGACTCGAACCTCTTTCCTGAGTAGCCTGCATCTCTGTTCCCTGAATCCATCCTTCTGCATGCATTTGAACCAGCTTAGGTGTCCCTCCATGCAGACTGGGGGTGGTGTTCAGACAGGACCGTCCATGGCCCCCTTCCAACTCTGTGCTTGCTTGGTATCTTGCTGCCATAAAGCCCCAGGGCCTGAGCAGTGCTTTGCCACAGGCTCTGCTCACACGTGGCTTTGATTGTTCTCTTTTCAGGCCCAGCTTGGGACATTCTTCACTTCCATTCACTTCCCCTCTGGGAGTCCCTTTCACCACCCCTGCGCCTTGCTTCAGGTGATGCCCAAGAGGGAGCTTTGGCCAGCAGGGTCGTGCTCAGAACCTGTGACCCACATCGGCAGCTGTGACAGCATGATGAGCACCACCTCCACCCGCTCTGGATCTGTATGTACTCTCTCCCTCTTGCAACCTGGCCTGCTCTGCATCCCCGCCCCCTCTGCATCCCCGCCCCACCCTGCCCTGCCCTGGCCTGCTGTGCCACCCACCATCACTCACTACACCTTCTCTTTCATCTTCTGCACCAGGGAGTGAATCACAGGATTCTTGCTGCTTCTGAGTCACCTCCGTGTCTAGAGAGAATTGGGTGGGACAACCTCAGAGAGCAATAGGATCAATACCCAACCACCCCCATTTTCATTAGATTAAAGGGCTTAGGTGGAGAAAAGGAGCAAGCACTTAGGTCATGGTGGAAACTGGAAGGTAGATTCTTGTAGCACATGGACTCAAAATTCTCTGCAATGAATAGCATGGCTTCGGTTTTCCACAAACAAACAAAACAAAACAAAAACAAACAAACAAACAAACCAAAGAGAATGGAGTAACTGGGACCCTTATGGAGCTGAACACATCCAGATTCCCTCCTTAGAAGCCATACTACCTTGGGCATATCATCAATTTCTCTACACTTCAGTCTCCTCAGTTTGGGGTTGTTTGTTAGTTAGTTTGTTTGTTTGTGGTTGAGACACTGGCTTGTGATCTCACTTCATTGCCCTGGCAAACATGTCAACCAGGCTGGCTTTGAACTCACAGAGAACCACCTATCTGTGACTCCCAAGTGCTGAAATTAAAGTTGTACACCACCACACTGAGCTAGTCTCCTCAGTTTTCAAATAGGGAAAATATTAACCCCTAATGTTAATGGTTCTTGGAGGGAGTAATAAGATGTGTTTGTTGTATGATTTTTCCTGGGGAGGCATGACAGGGCACAGACAGACCAAAGAGATGATTCCTAATATGGAGAGTTACTTACAGGAGCATGGGTGACTCTCGGCATGGGTGACAGCTTCAAACCTATATCCCTGTTGCTCCCTGACCAACTTGCAGATAATCTCACAAAGAATCTCTCTCTCTTTCTCTCTCTCTCCCTCTCTCCTCTCCCCTCCCCCTGCATTTGTCTACTACCTACATAACCTTGGGGAGGGGCCATGTGAATCTTGGAGCTTTCTGAGATCCCTGAGTAGTCTGAGTTTTATCAGCTGTCTGAGTCTTATATGTTTCCCCCAAAAGGGAGTGTCTGGGGTTAGAGGACAGCTAAGCAGCGTTAAACAGCGTTTAGAAAGCTAGGGCTAGGGTGCTGCCCAACAGTAGACTGATTACCTAGTGTCTACAAGCCCTGAGTTCCATCCCCAGTGCTTCATAAAATAAGAGACGAAAAAAAGCTTTTCTTGAGGAATATATTGGCACACACCCAGTCTCATCACCTGGGAAGCTAAGGTAGGGAGATCATGTTCTCCGCCAGCCTGTGCTCTATAGTAAAACGTGGGCTAAATGAAAAGGGTTCATGAAATGGCTCAGGAGATGAAGGAAGAGTTCTATTCTCAGAATCCACATGGCACAAAGAAAAATCTGACTCTTGCGTGTTTCCTCTGACCTCTATACACTCAGTAGCACACACATGCCCACAAACAAACACATATAAAATAAATAATAAAAATTTTAAATAATAAAGTAATAAAGCACTTAAAATTTACCTCTATGTAGAAAATAAATGGTCCTCTATGTACAGAGATAGAACTGTCTGAAATCACAATGCTTAGCTGTTTATGAGAACATGTAATAAGCTATATTTTTTTCTGGACATGATTTTAAATTCTGGGTGTTATAAGGTTGGGGTGAAGGAGTAAATATGCCTTATATCCAAGGTTAGCATTCCTTTGCTGTTTATCATTGTAACGAAGGGTATGACTTTACTGTATAAGAGAATTTAAACTGTGGCTGGAGATGTAGCTCAGGGGAAGTGTTTGCCCTGCAAGCACCGAGTTCTGGGTTAGATCCCAGATAATGCAAAACAAAACAAAACAAAACAAAACAAAAACCCCAGTTGCTTACCAGGTGGAGAGAGGTGAATCAGAAATTCAAGGCCATCCTCTACTACATAGCAAGTTCAGGGCCAGCATAGGCTGCAAGAGACCTGGTCTCAAAAAAAAAAAAAAAAGAAAGGAAAAAAGGTGGGTGGTAGTGGTGTACTCCTTTGATCCTTTAATCCCAGCACTCATGAGGCAGAGCAGGTGGATCTCTGAGTTCAAGGACAGCCTGGTCTAAAGAGAGATTTCCAGGATAGCCAGGGTTACAGAGAAAACCCGTCTTGAAAAAACAAAAACAAACAAACAAAAAGGAAAGGGGTTATGAAAGGTTTCTACCAAATGTTAGTATTTAATATCATTGATGGGCTTGTTGGTTGGTTGGTTGGTTGGTTTGGAGACAGGGTCATCCTGGGACTCAATAGTGTGCCCACCACACCCGGATGGAAAAGGCAAAGTGTTTGCAGTAGATGCAAATTTTCTCTTTGACATAGAGGCTGGGAACACAAAGACAGTGTCCTACTTCTTACTGCGGACACCAGTGTGAACGCTCACATTCCATTGGCTAATCTATAAAGGAGAAATCCAGAGGGCAGTGATGAAGAGCTTTATTCAAGGAACTCCCAGAGCTATTTGGGCAAGGCTCCCTTGGTACGCAAGCCCAGGCATTTGACGGTGACTTTCGGGTCAGGCAAGACTGGCAGGGTTATTTAACAACCTCTTCCCTGCTCCCCAAGATATGTCTAGGACTATCCGGCAACCTTCCCCAGCAATCTTGGTGAGTCTGGACAGTAAGTGCTGAAGTGTCGCAAACGTTAGGAAGAGGGGTGGAAATGCCGAGAGAAAGCTCAGACCAAATGTCACACATCCCTGTAGCTCCTTTTGGTTTTCACTTAGCTGCTGGTGGCACCGGCCTGCCAGGTAGCAGCTGAGAGGAGGCAGAAGTGCTTTGAAAAGTTACAGGCAATACAGTGGAATTTTAGCCATGTTGTTACCCATACAGTTCAGAATTAGATGGGAGACATACTTGTTGAAATATGGTTGAAGATCACGTGGAACCAGGGTGAAAACCCGGGGCTGCTTCTGATCTGGGCCGCGAAGCGTTCTGCTTACTCAGGACTAAGCAGTAGAAAGGCCCTTGCCGTCCATCTGCCTGCCTACCCAGCCTTCAGAACTGGTTCCTGGTGGCTCTGGCCTGCCAGTCCTCCTCGGCACCTACTGTTGCAGGGAGCAGTTCCACAGGTTGGCAGAGCAGAACCAGGGAAAGGTTGCCAGCTTCACAGTACTCTTCCCCCCAGCAGAGTGGGTCTCCTCGGGGTCTCGGGGTCCCGGGGTCCCCCACCTCACATTCCTTCTCCCAGCAGAGTGACAACAGCTACGACTTCCTGTCTGCCGAAGAGAAGGAGTGTCTGCTCTTCCTGGAGAAGACCATTGGCTCCCTGGAGGCTGAAGCTGACAGTGGACTCTCCACGGACGAGTCAGAGCCAGCCACCAGTCCTGGAAGTTTCCGAGCACTACCCATCACCCAGCAGGCTCCCCAGGGTAAGAGACTGTCTAGGGAGGCAACTCTCAGAAGACCAGTGTCTCCTTCTGAACACTCTCCACCTTGCTTGCCCTCTGCAGGAAGCGCCCAGGCAGAAGGAGCCCTGCAGTCTCCTAGCCAGACTAAAGCCTTGTCTCCAGAGGGAAGGGGTGGGGGTGGGGGACTCCTGAGAAGCCAGCTTCAGGTGACTTTCTATGAAGTAACAGAGGCCTAGGAGGGAAAGGGGTTTGGCTAGCTCCCCTCCTGTCAGGGAAGAACTCAAAAAGAGATATGATACTGCATGTAGGGAGGAGTCCGAGAGGCCTAAGTAATTGGCCCAGGAGAGAATGATTCAGCACAGGGAGCTAATCTGGGTGACCCAGAGAACAAGACTGGGGGAGATAAGAGTGTCCCAGCAGCACCTGGCACCTTGAGGCCCCTGTTTAGAGACAGCAGAAAGACAGTGGAGTTCCAATGCAGTAGAAGAGGATGGGATGGCACACAGGTGTTGAGGACTGTGTCCCAGGGTAAACAGAAAATATTGCCACTATGGGCAATCCCACTGGCACCGTTTATTCCTTCAGCAAATACTTATAAATACTTTACACAGCCTTTGGCCCTCCACTTAGACAGAGTAGAAGTTAGAAACTTCATGTACCCTGAGGCTAATTCACCGAGCCCAGTGGACCTCACATACCTGCCGAGATCACTAAGCAAGATACCATGGCACTCACTGGTACAAGGCACTACGCTACCACAGAATCATCCAGGCTCTCACAGAAAGTGAAAGCAGAGTGCCAAAGCATGTCCAGTTGACAGCAAGAGCTTCCTTCCACTGGGCTCAGTTACCTGGGATCCATGAGATAGCGTGAAGACCATCTTCAAGTCTCTCCCTGACTTTGAGGCATGCCTAGAAGGTGGGGAGAGCCTGAGATAAGACTTTGAAGCAACTCAGAAGTGATGTCTTCCAACCATTCTGAAAAGTCAATTCCCAGTCAAAAAGAACCTGTCGTTTTTGATCTACACGTCCTCGTGACCCGCAGGAAATGGTGCTGCCCTGTTAAAAGCAGGCAGAGTCAGACAAACCCCATTCGTGGGGGAGTGTGTGCTTTCCGCTCAGTAGCAGCATTCTCCCTCTGCTCACTCTTCTCCCCTCTTCTCTCCAGTCCCCACAGGAAACCCAGAGGTGAGAGGCACTCAGCAAGTGCCAGCACCAAAGAGAGAGGCCCACTCCTCTGGTCCTCCTGAGTCTCCCGGTCTGGGCCTCAGGTCCGGTTCCTACAGCCTTCCCAGAAACCTTCACTTTGGCAGAAGCCAGAACCTCAGGGAAAGTGCCACCCAGACGAACAGCCACGGATCTGAAACACCTGAGGTGTTAGCAGAGCCTGAGAAAGGGCGGACCAGCCAGAGCACTCAGCCCATCCAGCCCATCCAGCCGCCAGCCCCATCCCAGCAGACTACCCTTGACCTGAGCACAGTTCTCATTCCCCCACCAGAGGCTTTCCAAGACATTAGGCCAAGACAAAGCGGGGAAGAGAGCCCACCTGAAGAGCTAGGAGAGAAGAGACACACGCCACAGGCTGGTACTCTGCTCAGCTCCCAGAAGAAAGAGGAAATATCTTCGGAAACTATGTCCCATAAAGCCACTGAGAAAGGCCGGACAGGAGGTCCACAACAGCCACAGCTGCCTCCTGCCCAGTCATCTCAGAACATAAGAGCTGAAGAGGCTCCCCTGCCATCAGAAGTCAAGCCAAATATCCAACAGGCTCCCCTCACGGCCTCCAAGCCCCGCAGGCTGCCTCCTAATATCGTACTGAAGAGCAGCCGCAGCAGTTTCCACAGCCACCCCCAGAATTGGCTGTCCAATCACACCGAGGCTGCAGACTCTGTCCCTGTCCCTTCTTCCCTGCAGGAACAAAAGAAAGCCCGCAGAGAGGCTCTGGAAAAGCTAGGGCTGCCCCAGGACCAAGATGATCCCAGCCTACTTGTGAAACATCCAAGTACCCTCAAAGTCAAGGAGGCTCAGGCTCAGAGCCCTTCCCAGGCCCAGGCCGTGGTTCAGCACACGCCTCCAACCACGGTCCCAGGGGCTGCTTCTGCTGCAGGGAAAACGTCCCCAGGGAAGGCTGTCACTCCAATGGCCTCTTCGGGCAAGAGGATTCCTGCCCAGGAGACCCCTCCAGGGAAGGTTGCAGCTGCCAAGTCTATGCCCATTCCTATCCCTAAGGCCTCAAAGGAAAACAGTTCCCTGACACGGCCCAAGCCTGATCCACGGCTGACCCTCCAGGAAAGTAGCATCCCTGGCCTGAGGCAGATAAACTTCAAGTCCAATACCCTGGAGCGTTCAGGCGTGGGGTTGAGCAGCTATCTCTCAGCAGCGGAGAAAGACCCCAAATGCCAAACCAGTACATCGCTGGGAAAGAGCCCCATCTTGGGCAAGGCTTCACCCAGCATCTTGCGTAACTCCCGGCCCCGGCCTGCCTCCTTGGGCATGGGAAAGGACTTTGCAGAAATCCAGGGGGGCAAATTGGTTGGCCTGGAGCAGGGCCAGCGCTCCCAGCAGCTCTCCTTCAAAGGACAGAGCCACGACAAGCTTCCTCGCCCGCCCTGTGTCAGTGTCAAGATATCCCCAAAGGGCATCCCTGATGGACACAGGAGGGAGGCTCTAAAGAAGCTGGGACTGCTGAAGGAGTAGCCAGGCCACCGGCATAGCCAGCACCAACCCACCAGAAGAGACTGGCTCTACCTAGAGCCTTTGCGGCCTCCCAGCCCGGCATCTTCCCCGTCTGGGGTGGAGAAGGAAGAGGCTTGAGTCCAAGCATCTGTTTGTACTCAGAGCAGTTGTGCTGTTCAGTACTGACAGAGATCATTCTAAAGACGAGTCTCACAGGAGCGGGAGGGAGAAGGAGAGAGAAGCCTTACATATCACCGACACGGTTTATGTAACACGAAGAGCCACTGCTCAAAACTCTGTTCTTGGTTGAGATTTTACACGTATAAAGTTCAGCCTGTCCCAGAACTGAGTGGAATAGAGTCCAGGGAGACGTGGACCTGAGAAGTAAGGTTGGATGAGACAAAGGATGAATTAAAAATTTAAAAGATGGATTACGTTGTACACGTGACTATGGTCACATGGGCTGTGGGATGAGTTTCCGCAGTGAATGGAGACTGGCTCCTGTATGCCATGCCTTTCTCTCTCTCAGGGTCTTCTGGAAATGGCCTGAGGCCAAGGGGAGCTGATTCAGTATCTCTTACCCACTGCCTTTCCCTGTCGCTTCTTGCAGGGTAGGACATATCCCTGTCTCTGGATCTCATAGTTCACTGATAGCAGGAGGCACTCCCAAGTCTGAGAAAGCTGGGTAAATGGCACACACTCCTCCATTTCTACCTGGAAGAATCCATGTCATGGGCTTGAAGAATAAAATAATAAACTGTGCCATGGCCTGTGGCTCTGAAGTCCCCGTTCTTCCTGCCTTCTGTCTCCCTGGCTGGTTTCAGGGCAGGTCAACACTGAGCTGGAAGCCCAGCCCAGTGGCTTTATGAATACAGAATTGTTCCTGAACCTCTCCCTGGCTATTCAAAAGTCTTCAGGTTTCCAGGGGCCTGGAGAGGTAGCTCCATGGTTAAGAGTGTGTGAGGCTCTGGCAGAGAACCAAAGTTCAATTCCCAGTACCCACTCAAAACTGCATACAACTCCAGTTCCAGCTCCAGGGGATGCAGCACCCTCTTCTGGCCTCCAAGGACTCCTGCACTCACTTGTACATACTCATATACAGGCACACACTTAACATTTTATGAGGGCTTTTTTTTTTTTTAAGGAAGTTTTCAGGTTCTTTCAGTTCCAGTGATGGAAACTCAGCACACGCAGACACAGAGACTATTAGAATGGAGGGAAATCGTAGAAAAGCTCCCTCCAGCTGCATCAAATTCATTCTGCCATTTAGTAACAGCTGAAGCTGGACCCCAGGACTTGAAATACACACATGGAACAGCTCACCCAATGCAGCTGTCAGGTCAGTCAGATTACCACTCCACACGGCCTCCTCAGCCATCGTTCTAGGCCCTTCAGAACTCTAAAGCGTCTTCCAAAACACCAGGATTAATATTTAGAAGAATATGTGATGCTGTTTATTTTTTCTTTAACAAGGGGGTATGTTGTAACTCATTCTTAATCATTCTTCCTCCCAATTTCCCAACAAGTTGTGTATGTCTTGAGTGAAATGGGTGAGTCTTGTGGCCTAATTGAGCAGGCATGGCCAGCCACGACCCTCTTTTCCTTTCAGTGGTATATCCTGTGATGACTGAGCCAGCGGTAGTGGAGATGCCCAGAAGGGGCGAGCAGACAAGCGACTGCTGCTGGAAAGATGCCCCTTAGTCCTGTCATCTCGGGCCGGTGTCCTTAGGGACCCGTTGCCGTCAATGATCAAAACTTCTGGAATGATGAGACGGCTAGGATTAAGGGCAGCAGATGACTCCACCCCATCACGGTATGTGGGGTGTGGGTGTGGCAGTTTCTGTGTGAACTCTTACACACCCCCACATACTCACACACCCAAATGTCTGCTACCTGCTTCCCAGCTCCAGCTGAAGACCTGATCTCTCAGAGGTGGTGAGGACTCCCACATTGGCTAAGCTCTGTCATTACAGGCTCCCAAAAGGCAGAAGGCCGATTCTAGAGGACTAACTTGACCTGCTCTGTGTGTTTCAAGACTCAAGTTGGTTCCCTATTCATTCACTGAATGATTAAGAGAGAGCCATGAGTTAAACCTCAATTAATACTGAGGCTTAATGGGAGTCTGGGAACAACACAAGGCTGGCTTTGTGCTGGTCAGAAGTGCCACCTTTTCCATCTCCATCCACGAGAAAGAAAAGTTCACACTCATAGCACCCGGAGCCACAGACAGTCTGCACCTGCACCTCTGGATCTTCACCACAGTGACAGGCCCATTCCACCATTCTCTTTGTGTGGACAACCCCCTTCTGTTTAATCAGAAGATCTATGTTTCCCCATATGCTTGTTTTTCAGAGGATATTCTATTTAAAAGAGCTAAGGAGAGCCTAAGGTAAATGTTTGCCACACCAGCATGAGGGTCTGAGTTCAACTCCCTGCACTCACATAAAACACACACACACACACACACACACACACACACACACACACACACACACAGAGGGGGCAGGGGCATGGTGGTACATGCTTATAATCTCAGTTCTGGGGAGACAAAGACAGGAGGATTTCTGGGGCTTTCTGAGAGACCCTGTCCCAAAAAACAAAGGTGGAATCCTCCACATACACCCATATATCCTCTCTGTGTGTGTATGTCTCTGTCCGTCTGTCTATCTATCTATCATCTATCTTTCTCTCTCTCTCTCTCTCTCTCTCTCTCTCTCTCTCTCTCTCTCTCTCTCTCTCACACACACACACACACACACACACACACACACACACACACACACACACAGAAGGGAAGAGAGGATGTTTTTCAGGATGCAAGAATATCAATCCAAACCTGACCCTCTTCATTTTGAAGAGGGACAGAAAGGTCCAGTGAGGACATCCCTCTCCCCGAAGGTGATGCTCCACCCAATTGATTGACTGGTCTATCCTCTTGTACCCAGATAGGAAGGCGTTCCCTTCATCATCTTGCATTGGTGGGGTGGGAGGTGGGAGTGGGTTAAGAGCTTTTCAAGAGATTTTGTGTAAGAGATTGTAAGATTTTAAAAGCCAAACTGACTATTCGACTTTACTTGGGACTTAAAGTCTGCCATATCCCACCAGTCTTGCTGCTGCTGGGTGCAAGCCATCTAACAAATATAGAAGTAAGCCATCTAACAAATATAGAAGTAAGCTTCCCCCAAGCCTGGCGCAGTGGGCTATGTGTCCCCTAGATGTATGGATAGCTGCCTCTCTGAGTCACCACTCACATGCTTCCCTGGCAGCACCCTATTGTGATTGCAGAGGGGCCCAGCAGGCCTACGTGCCAGCTTACTCGGAAGTCTGGACCGACCCACTCAGCTCTCTGCTTCCCTACAGTGGAAGTACAGTTTGGCAGAAGCTACCCCATGACCTGTGGGTAGGCAGTTGTGCAAACATTCGTGTGTGTTTATGGGAGGAAAGGTAGGTTAAAGATGGGGTGTACAGGCTCTCACTGATGTGCTGAGTCTGACCTGGAAATGAAGGGTGAAGATATGTGGGTGCGGGAAGGCGTCCTTCTCGCTTCCATGGCTTCCATGGTTGCATGTGCGGGCAGAATCAGAACGTGAAGCTTCAGTCTCATAGATCCAGGATGAACAGGTGAAATTATGTCCATTTCCACCATTCTATGCAGGATTGCAGATATAATGCTTCTCTGAAATTTTTATCTCTCGGTGACTATGGGACACACAAACCCATGCTCAAATTTAATATTCATTTTAGAACAATCAAGTAGCCTGAGGGTGTCACTTCTGAATCTTATCATTTTTGTAAGTGAAATGGGGGTAGTACTACCCAGCTGTTTAAGATGATCAGGATAAACAGAGCACACTGTCCTAGGGACACTCAACAGTCTTAGCAACTCAATAAACCATAGATGGAAATTCCTCTTTCTCAGAGGAGAATACAAGTTTGGAAGCCAAGTGCTCAGGAAACTAAATTCTGCAAGGAACTGGCAACATTTGAAGTCCAAAGTAGTCCAGTCTTCTTCGGCTCACTCTCCAGGTGATACAACTGCACCCACATTTTGTTTCCTGGAGACGGAAAAGGAAAGGATCCGCATGAATCTGCTGTTTATATCGTGTCGAGACTGAGCCTGATGCTTCCTGCTTCTCAGTTTTCAAGACCAGCTTCCTTGCTTGCCAGTCTTATGCTGTCTGTGACCAGACTGTCAACTTCTTCATGTTCCTGCTAACTTACGCACCAGCAAGGAAGTGTGCCCAAAGCAAGAGATAGAAGCTAAAAATGTTTTGAGGTTCCTGGAACACTTTGTAAAACTAAGATTAGCATCTCCCTGGCACAGATCAGCTGCTAGTTTGGAAGAGTGAGGAGTGCATGGGATGAGCTCTCTCACCCTCTCTGCTGTGGGGATCCGGTGGATTACAGCAGCCGTCACCACCATCACAGTCACCACTGACACCGAGCACACGCAGGAGTTAAAGACAGGCTCATAAACTGGGTAGGAGAAGCAGACTAGGTCCGTTACAGCGCTGAAACGTGTCTGCTTTTTCACATCACCAGTCTGCTTCCGGTCCCCACCCACACAGGAACCAGGAGGATATTTGTCCCATTGCACTAGTTTTCACTGTAAGAAAGGGGCGCCTGAGAAAATGCACACATATTTGTACAAGAGGCTTATGTAATAGAAAGTATAAGAGCAAACTAAAAACTGATATGATTGATCACCTACAGAGATCAAGCAGGGAAGCCATGGAAATAAGGGGGAGTGGGAGCAGAGAGATGGGAATTCACTGGTATGCCTTTCTACATAGTTCAAACTTGAAAACCTTGGTGACATTTCACATAATCACCAAATAACAAGCAAGCAAACCAACACTCAGTGTGGGTAGAGAGAGAAGTGGAATCCAAAATGGACTACAATAGAAGACATTAATGTAACTGTGTTAGGAATCATATCAAGGGGCAGGGACTAGAAAGTAGGAAGTTTGTCCAGGAAGATGGCTCAGTGGGTAAGAGCACGTGTTCTGCAAGCCTGAGGACCTGAGTTCAGATCCCCAACACCCAAATAAAAGCCCTATGTCTGTAACCCATAGCGTTGGGGGTTACAAAAACAGGTAGATCCTGAGAGCCTGCTGGCCAGCCAGTGTGGGAGAGCAGCCCCCACACTTATTTACCCCAGGAACTCTTGAGGATTGAGGGATAAGAGACTTAGAGAGTTAAGAAGCAGAGAGAAAACACAGGATAGACTCGGTGGGCCTGAAAACTTATCCAAAAGGGTCCAGAGCTTTATTCCAAAGGGCTATTTATAACAGTGCCAAGGGGTGGAGCAGAGGACCTCCCCCTTGCTAGTTACAGTCACCTGGTACCCAGGCCCGTGGTCCAATCAACCCCCCATGCAGTCCTGCTAGGTACAGCCTCTAGGAAACCTAGTGGGCTCCAACAAGCCTGCAAGCTTCTAATTCAGCAAGAGACCTTGTCTTAAGGCAATAAAGTGGAGAGTATCACCTTACTGTACCCCACACACATACATGAGCATACACAAACTCGAGCATGCATACACATGTGCACACACACGAGTGTACACATACACAAATGAGCCTAAACACATACATACCATATTTTGACTATGCTTTTTTTTCAAAGAAAGACAGACACTATTTCATAAATGTGTGTCTCACATTTATGGCTTAGAGTTCTTAAAGCACGGGGGCTGGAGAGATGGTTCAGTGGTTAAGAGTACTGACTGCTCTTCCAGAGGACCCAGGTTCAATTCCCAGCACCCACATGACAGT